ATATATATATATATATATATATATATATATATATATATATATATATAACAACTGGCTTAAAGAGATTTGAAGAGGACAGCATCAGGTAAAGGATATATACTTCCCTTTAAGACAGGTCACCACTTTCTTCCTATCTCTAGAAAGACAGTGTTGGGCCTCCTGGAAATAGATTAGGAATAGACAGGAACTCATTCTCTCATACAGCTAAATCTCAGTGACAATTACAAAGATGTATGATACGTGTTTTACAGTGGGTCCTATGTGTTATTAGCATAAGGTCAATTTTCTTAATGCCAAGAACACTGTCACCTCTCCATTTATAGGTAAAACTTGGCCATTAAAAGGCATAGTGATGTGGCCAGACACTTGTAGCTTGTTCATGATAGAGCAGAAATATGAATTCTTGATTTTCTGTTTCCCAAGCCTGTGTTCTAGTCTCAGTTAATTAAACATCTACTCATCTACTGGTTTGTTTAAATTGCCTTGTGCTTGGAGTGTTATCTTTTCTGTAACCAGTGGGCAGACAAGAGTACTTCTGCAGTGTAGTAGGTTAATTTCTACTTATCCATCATTGCAAAACAGACATACTTTGCATATGTCCACACTAGCACTATTACAACATCCTATAGTAAAATAATATGAAGTACTTTTGTGGAAAATAAGAAGCAACAGATATATTTAATGAGAGAGTGGTACAATGCTTAGACATTTAAGAGAGAAAATACTTATGTTAATAAGAAAGGTAAACTAGAAAGACAGGGATTGGAAACAGAGAGAGCTGATAACTTCTAATCCACGTGAAAGAAATCAGGGCTGAAACAAAATGTTGTAGACAGCCTAGAAAACAAAGGGAAGGCATGAGGTGTATGATGTATAATCACTAGACTTGGCTGATTGGTTGAGAGGGAAATGCTATGCACAATTTTCTAGCTGAATGTACTCAATGTATTCAATGGATTGACGTATCCCAATGAAAACATGAAAGAGGGAACAGATTTGAGGAGGAAGTGTGCAGCCAACTATTACATATGTGTGAGATATGGAGGAGGGAGAAGACACAGCCAAGGAGATGGTGAGTCAGTATATGGTACAACCAAATCCCAAACATTTGATATCCAACACATTTGATCTGCAGGGAGTTTCAGTTCCTTACTATTTGTTGCTTTTGACTCATGAAGCTGGCAGTCAAATAGATTTATATACAACACTTCTCAGAAGAACATACCTCCCATGGCAAGACAAAGTCCTCAAAATTCTTTATTTCAGTTGAAAAACAAGCTTTTCAGTTGCTGATTTGTTTTCATTTGTTGTAGAAATGCTATTTATTCAATGCTCACCAGCGTGGTTCTCACCCAGTGGTTTCATGGTTCTATGATCATAGTGACATAACAATCTGGCATTGCTTTCTGGATTTTGTCAGCACCTAACAACTAGCTGAGTCTTTAGAATTGACTGTGAGCCTCATGGAACACATTATTGCTTTTTGATAAAGGAGAAAGCACGACATAATTCTGACTGACACTGAGCCACACTGGAGTAGTGAAATGATGCTCCACTCTACATCATCATACTTACCAATTCTCTTCACCCTTACTCAGTGCTGACATCATATGCAGCTTGAAAGTCCTTTGGAACTATACTGAAATTTAAAATAAAAGGAAGAAAGGTGCTATTAATGATTTTGCAATCTTCTTCTGTAGTTTGTTGTTGTTCTTGTTCAGATGGCATTATGAGAAATCATAGAAGCCCCTCTTGATTATAGATGCTATAGCCATCCTCATGTATATCAGAACTTTTACCTCTTCAGACAAGTCTTTTGAGATAGTTAGGATGTATTCAAGAGATTTATGAGATTTATAAGTGGTAAAATGGTCTCTGCTAAAATCTCAGCAATAAGAATTTGGTCATTAGTGCTCTCTAGTGGAATAAGAATTTTGTGCTGAGCTCTGTAGGTCTGTTTAAGAAAGCTTGTTTCCAGAGAAGTCCCTGTGGTCCGTAGCATGATCTGTGCCCAACTCCCAAGGCTTTACGGCAGTATAGAATGCAGGCCCTCAGTACTGGAGCAGGTTTCTTATCACTGTGGACATGGTATGATGTTTTTTGATTTCACATGTTTTGGAGTGAGTAGTGAGTCACCCTGTTCCTCTGCCCAGGACCTTGTATCTGTGGCTCACCTATGAGCACTGGGACAACCTGACTTTGGACACAGCTCTTCTGTTTTAATCTCTTGGATTCTCTTGTCTTATTAGTCTTCAGTTACATGTAATTGTGATTATGAGGTTATTCAATTGTAGATCAATGTGAATAATGAGTCCAAGACAATTAAGTTAGTTTGTCAAAAGTAATCTAAGTGTGAACTGAGAAAAAATTCAAAATCCTCAAACAAGTGAACATTGAGAAAGTTATCTGAAAGAAAACCCCATTGACATGCTTTAAAAAAAACAAACAACAAACAACAAAAAAACTGATTTCACTCAGATTTTTTCAAGTTGACATTCTTTGTAATATTTCAAAATTCAGCACATTAGAAAATCCGAGTGATTGATATATAAAATATGTAAATGTGACTTTAAAAATGAGGAAAAAAGCTACATAGGACAACTTGTATTTTTGTTATTCTAGCTCATTTGCATATTGCAAAGCCAAGAACAGTCCCTCCTTTCCTCTCCCCCGTCTGCCTTTTTTCCTCCATCTTTCAGGAATTCCTTACTTACATTTGATTTCCCGACATCCATTTCCCATTCATTCACTGCAGCTTCCCCTACCATGCCTCAGTGCTGCCATGCAGCCGCCTCCCCCTTGTCTCTTTCTGATCACTAAGGATCTTAGTTCTTTCTTCGGGTAAACAAGTGAGTGCTCTGAAACAAAACTCATAAGATATAGAGAGCAATGGTGTATAGTGAATTTTAAAGACAAGGCAGAGATTTAACAGAAAGAAAAAGTTGATGGAGAGGCCTTTCCAAAAACAATTGCAAGCACCAAAAAGCAGAAGGCAGGGAAGAGTGGAGAGCTATCTCCAGTCTGGATAAAGTGGAGCAAGGGGAGGGCTGTTCAAAGGAACTGCATGCCATAGAAAAAATATAACTTCGAAAAAACTGCTCTCCCTTCACACCCACTGACAGATCAAGCATCTTGGACTTTGGACCTCTAATGGTCCTAGTTTTTCAACTGCTCTCATATCAAAATACTTCTGCTGTTTGAATAGCAATCTCCATCTAAAGGCCAGGTTCACTATATAAATAACATGCAAGAATGGTTCATATGGCACTATGTTTCACAGTAACAGTGGGTTAGGCTATGTTGTCAACCACCGTGGTTTTATTTTATCAACATAGACCATACTCAACTCAAACCCCCCCTTTCTATTATTTCTATGATTTGGGGGCCATGAAAATAAAACTTCCCGTACTTGTAGTTTTCCTAGGAAATATAAACTATGGTAACATGGGTTACATCAACCCTAAAGGCTATTTTAAAACTATCATACTTGGAGCTATTTCAGTAGGAGTTGAATCCCTAGAGAGTCCTTATTAGTAGGAAATTTTCCTGTATCGAATCTAGCTTATGCAGCCTTATTAAAAACTGTGGTGATGGGAAATTAATGCTGTTACAGCATCTGGAAAGATTGGTCCCATGCCATAATTGGGAATAGGCAGGATCCCGCATTTCACAGAGAGTTTCTTACCCAACACCTGTAAATATCAAATGTTACCTTGGACACTGTATCCTAAATAAAAATATTTCAATCTTGTTCCAAAAAGGATTTGACAAGGTTTCATGCACCACAATACAATGATTTATGGCAGTCAATGCCGGGTTTAATTCCTCCAGATTAATGAACTAGTGGATATTTATCCAGCAAAGAGACTTGAGACCTGGTGCAGTGCTAGCAACATTCTTGATTCAAAGTTATTTCGAGCATTGACTCCCAGTGACCAGGAGAGCAAGAAACCTGAGTCTCAGAGGCAAAATAATGCCCTAAAAAACAAAGAACAAGCAAAGAAAACCTACCAAGGGGTGGAAAAAACATGATCCTACTGTAGAACATGAAAATGTGAAGAAATGCAAAACAACAAGCTGTGTTAGAAGGGATAAATGCTGCAACCAGGAGTGGAGGATTTGAGGAAAAGAACTAACATAAATAACCACACAAGGTAATATTCTGACTATATTC